ATTCCTCACCTTCCTTTCCAATTTCGAACACCTTAATGCGACTCTGAACAATATTTTTTGGCGGGGACTCAACGCTGTGAATAAACTCCTTCTTACTCTCCTCTCTCTTCCATTTGTCCCCACGAGCATGTGGTAACTTCATCACCTGTGATCTGGTGAGTTTCATATTTGGTTCTTCCTTATCTTTCTCTACATCCCTAACCCGAGCAGGATCCAAGTGCAGCTGATGAACTGGATACACCAACTCACAACTCTTCCTTGGATTCACATTTGTGTTCTGAAATTTCAACAATTCTGTGAATCCGGGGACAGTCCTGCCAGCTTGCAAGGTGTCATAACCAGAATCAGAGTGCTTCCCATTAGAATACCTGTCATCCTGCAGATTAGAATTGCCACCTGAAGACTTGAGGGTATTGCTGCTGCCTTTTGGGTATGTATCAGAGCACTTTAGAATTTTCTGTGCAGGACTCTTATCCACGTGGTACGTAGCTTCCCCTTGCAGAGGCAGTAACTCAGAGCACTTCATCCTGCCATTAGTTAATTCTGTCAACCTACTTTCTGGACTTCTCAACTGTTCAACAGTGTGAGTTCTTTTATGGTCCTTTGAAAATGGTGGGATGGAGGGTCCCTGATAGCCTTTCCCATATGCTGCATCTGGAGGTATCTTGTCTTGGTTGTCTCGTAATAAACGTTTATGGTTTCTAGACTCCGCATTGCTATCGCATGGAATATGATTATGGCGTGATTCTGCGTTGAATGGGGCAGTCACATTCTCATACTTGTATGAGGAATGCATATCTGTGCACGTGTGCTGAGGAACGGAAGAGTGGTGGTGGTGACGACGTGGTTTTCCCTCTGCACTACCATGTCGCGACCTTCCTGCCTGCGAGGGGCGTCGAACACGCTTTCTCGCCTTGCGAACGTCACTCGGCTCTGAACCAGTCCAAGAAGAGAACAGAAGAATTACACTCTTCTCTTATGAATAAGAAGAGTATACTGGTTGTAATTTTGATATTTATTGTTACTATTAGCAAGAAAACTATAAAAAATAAGCTTAAAATATATTCTTTTAAGTGTTAAAGTTAGTTAAAATAATTACATTCACCAAAATGTTTTAAGTGAAATCTGAATCCTAAAGAAAGATAGAGTTAAGCCTAGGTTAGTGAAAATTAAGACATCTTTCAGTCATGCAGTTATAAAGAGTTCAGAGCAAAATTATCAATAATGGTTGTAATTTTATTGTTGTAACAAAAGGAAATACATTTCCCATGCCACCATTAAATATCCACAGCAGGGAGGGGGAATCCAGTGTTAGTTTAAATGAATAAACCCAAGCAGGCAGGAAGGTTGTCACAGATTTAAGTCTCGATTTTACCTGTGCAGAATCTCGGACGGTTTTATATAATTTCCCTCATTTGAGGGGGTTAGAAGTAAGCATTCCTTTTTATTGTACTTATTAAACAATGCCACATGCAGATGGACTGAGCTGAGAAAATATTAATCGACAAAGATTGAAAAGCCACACACCTAGGAAGAATTATTGTGGAATACATACCATACAACATTAACTTCCAAACAAATACACATTCAATTGAAATGATACTTCTTGTTAACAACATACTTGCAGCTGGATTGAAATAATACAATTTACTTCACTGACTGTAAATGCCATTTCCAACTACCAAAGCACATCACTATACAATATGAGCAAAGGTATAGTGTTCATAGTATGTTCAAAGTGCATCAGATAGCCAGAGCAGCAAAGTATTTTCACTGTATCAAAATTTGAAAATGATAAATTAATCAGATCAGTGTCAATTGGCAGAAAAAACCTAACTTTGATACAGCTGATTCCAGCTATTTTCACCTATGGCAGCTAATGACTATCTGAAGAGGTGGGGCCAGGACTGCTTAAAATTTAAACCCCTTTCCCCACTGCCTTCATGTGATGTCTTGACTGCCAAGCCCCTCCGCAGAACTTCCTGTTAAAAATACCAGAGCTGCTTGGGGCTATATGTCATTACAAAACCTACAACCCTTCTGCATATTACCTTCCACCAAAAACAGATAAATAAAGTGTGAAAGCCTGATCTTTCCTCTTAACATTGATATGTGAGACCTGATGCCATGTATTGCATGAAATGCTACACTGAGTGATTGATTAATTAAACCGATATCTTTGGCTCTGTCACTTTTAATGCAGTTATGCTCAGCCAATCAAATTGGCTCATGGCCTGCAAAGTGTTAAGGGAAAAGGGGAAAAATTGTGTTCTTATCTATATTAATCATTGACTCTATATATTATATAGCATCTCTTCCTCAGCACTGTAGTCTCATTTTGTGCTGAAAAGAACATTTCACATGAACCTCATGTGAATTTGATATGGGTAAACTCAAATTGGGTCAGAGAGGCTTGGGGCCTCTCTAGGTTCATCTGTGTCCTCCACCACCCACAGGCAGGTGCTACTGCTGGACAGACAGACTGATGCTAACAGGTGTTTCAGCAGGATTCATACAAGCCTAAAAATGCACTGCTTCCATCAATCACTGGACCAGACCGACTACATTCCTCACATTTTTCTTTCACGTCCTCTGATAATCACAATGACAAAAATTTACATGAAACTGCACCACTTCGGTGCTGTCTTTAAATTCAAGCATTTTGTTGACTTCTTTTCATGTGCAGTATCCATTCAGTATCAACACTAAAATTGTGTCATTTTCTGCTGCTGCAGTATTTCCACTGAAGCTGCTGCTAAGAGTGCACAGTTCAGGACTGCTTAACTTTCTCCTTGACCCTGAAGATGGGTACTGAACATTCCCCTGAAGATTTAGGTAGACTTCTAGCAAGTTACATGAGTAACATTCCAGAACACAGTATTCCTTAAGTGCTCTTATTTCTCACAACTTTCAAACATTTTAATGTTGACTTTCTGTGTATCATAATACTTCTGCTTTCCACACGTGTCCAGAATAACAATATTAAACATTTCAGAAAATCCCTCAAGCTAACAACTGACTTGTGTCCGCCACATTTTGTTGGCAGTTACAGAAAATTAATGCAGGAATTGCATTTAAAATTCATGGAGAATGCTACTCTTCAAACTAAGCAAAGATCTTGGGTTCTTCAGACATAACCAATCACACATAAGAAAGAATGGAACGAAATACTCCATCCTTTGTATTGAAATGTCCTTGACCTCAAAATGTGCTTCATAAATTTTCCTGAAAATCTGTAAATATGAGAACTCAAATACAAAAACTGTTATAAGGATATCCTGAGTCTGACATCAAGAAAATTCTTGCAAAATATTTTTTGTATGTGCAAAATATTCTTCACTAATTTAACAAAGCCTTCATTGCAGTGCTTACAGAATGCTGAATTACAGGAAGATACTCATACCCAAATACTAAATTCGACATGATCGGTAAGGAAGTGGCTGTGACCTAATTCGAGGTACTATCCTGGCATATGATCAGAGAAACTAAGGAAACCCATGAACACATCAATGACAACAGGCAGACCAAATTCTGTCACAGTAAGAAGCAGAATTACATACATTTCTATTAAAATGAACTGAATAATGTGAATATGTATATAAAAGCATGGCAAAATGCACACTATTTAAACTACGCATAACTGACTTGCCAGGGCCATCTGTACAGTTGGAAACCTCTGTTTACATTGTGAATATCACACTGATATACTCCCTAAAGAAGGAACTGCTCAATTTTTGTATGTTAGAAACAAGTAGTGAAGACTGGACACTTCCTAGTGTTGTGACCTTTTTAATTAAATATTTATGTACTTCTCTGAGCAGCAACAGGAAAAACTTGAAATAAAGTTTCACTTTTGAACAGCATTACATATCGCAGAAAGTACAGGATAGAAAAACAACATTCGGTAAACTGATCACCAACTGAAGAACATAAACACAATTAAAGCTACATACAGATTTTGAAAAATATTGCTATACTAAACACCACTAATTTTAGCAATAGCTGGTTAAGTTACATACTTGTACATAAGTCCACCAACAGGTTAAGAGGCTATCCTCATTCATGTCAATAGGAGGAAAATGGGGTGTCACAAAGTGATTAGTAAATTTTAGAACAAGCAGCTAACATATTTACTGAAAAATCACATATGTGACTAATAACACTTCACACATTTCACTCAGCTCATATTTGCTAAATTAATTCTCAATGTCTCCACTAGAAGGCAGTAGGCAACAGAGAATTCAAAGAAAACGTTTTACTCTAAATCTTCATAGAGCTCAGTAATTAAAGCAAATGTAACTTCACTTTCAATCCAAAACAAAGACAACAAGTACTCTAAGTTTCTATGCAGAAGAGCTGTGAGTTTTGAAACCACAAATACAGACTTTATAGAGAATATTTTTATATGATGACCACAGTGACAAACAAATATCTTTTAGTAGCCTGTCAGCCATAGACTCAAAAAATAGGAAATCACCTTTTAATGTATTAAGTTGGCATAGCTCAATCAGTGAAGCAGCTGGCTGTAGGCTGGATGAATGGGCTCCAACAGTCTGCAGGGCATAGATTTATTTTCTTTGCCACTTCACGACTCTTGCTATAGGCTTGCCCAGAATACGGATACAAAACTGCCCATTCACTTCAATCTTTCACCAAGCTCTGGAATTTGCAGAACTTCAACCCCTATAAATCTTCAGGGCATTGTGTTTGGGCCCTTTATATCCAACATCATTCTAAATAATACAAAGAGTTGGCTCATGATGTTAATTTCATTCCCTACAACAACGAATATGTTCATTCTATTAAAATGTTGTCACGTGTATTAGCTTGAATTGCCTGTCATCTTCCTAATCTGAAAAACATAAGAAATCAAATTGTACCCACCCCAACTACACCAGTGTTTCAGTTTTCAGAATTAACAGATCTGCCAAGGCCATGTCTATCTTCCATACGAATTTGAATGTTCTGGTATGCATGCAATTCAAACGCCCACAGCTTACCTTCATCATCAGATGAGTAGCTGTTGTAGCGGCTGAGGGATGTTGAGGAGCGACGACCATCCTGACTCCTACTTCTGAGCATAGATCGACCGGGCACAGTCCCTGTATCCTCCATTTGTGATCTCCTCTTGGAACTCACATGTCCATCTTGACTATTCGTCACATCCCTGCTCCGAGCTTCCTGGCTAGCTAGTTCTCGGAGTACCTGCTGTTTGTAGTACTTTGACAATTCATTCTGTGCTACTCCTCGAGTCGATGAACCTGAAGGTTTCCGGGTCAATGGAGACTGCAACATCCTCTGTTTCCACTCTAGGAGCCGCTTCATAGACTCTTCCCGCTAGAGATAATGAAGGATAAATTGTTAAAATATGTCACTTCCCCCATTCCATAATTACAAGCAAGTATCTTTTGTATGACAGACTTATTTACTTTACTTACTCATGGAGCTGAGCACTTCTTGAGGAGCCGCCAATTCTGCAGCCACTCAAGAATTTCCCAGAATTTTATGGAATCAGAAGGTTCATTACTGTGTTCACAAGAGCCCTCCACAGGTCCCTATCCTGAGCCACATCAATCCAATCCATACAGTCACATCCTATCTTTGTATGATGAATCCAATAACTTAGTGCAATATACTACAGACATACACGACATTCTGAATTTCATGAAGATGAGAGCAAGTCGAAGGTTCCATATTCAATTCACTAGGTGAAAATTAATGCAGTGTGTCCAAGAAGTCTTGTCAAGGAATGGCCTTGCAAATATGCACATCTGATAGTAATTGATGTTGATGGAAAACTTTTCTAAACCTAATTAAAAGATCAGTATAAATATTAAATTGCCATCTGATCAATCCTGCAACAAAGTCTAGTAATTTATTTACCTCTATCTGGAAAAGCATATTTCAAATTAATTTAATCTTGTTACTAATCAGAATGAAGACTTGTTATTATAGATTCAAAATTATAATGTTTTTATGATGTCTCATACTGGAACAGGCCAATGTGTGACAATGGTGAATAGGAAGCAGCACATTCATTGCCAATAACTTACTGACAGTCACAGACAGCAGATGTCCTTGACATCTGTGTAATGCACTCCACTTCTCAAACTACTCTTTCTACTTTATAACAGATACAAACTTCATAGCATCTTGACAATGTGTGTGTCTTTATATAGTACCTTCCTACTCCTTAATTCATGAAGAAAGGCATGAATATCATGCTTCCATAGGTCACCACAGCTCTAAACTTCTTCATTCCCTGCTATCAATATCACCCTAGTGGTAGTGCACACATCTGAAATAGTAGTGATGCACGACCTTTCAAACATATGCAACATTTGAAGAATGCTGTCTTCTGGGATGTGGAGCCGTGTATATCAGGTTAGAAAAATCTGCAAGCGAGGAACCAGCTTGAGCAAGTGGTTGGTTCCTTGCTCACCCACAAGTCACATCTGCTTAGTGCCAAGGGAAACTTTTAAACCCAACTTGTTAGAAGATGGAGGTTTTGTTTGCAGTGTAGCAAGCATATAATACTATAATATACTGATAAATACAGAATCATGCGATATGACTGCGGTTTCTCCAAAAACAAAAAAAAAAGTATAATCTAGCACGATGGTTCTCGAATATTTTTTGTCCGCAGACCCCCAACAACAAATTGCACACTCAAAAACCTCCTCATCCCTCCATGTTTAAATTATGAGCACATCAAATTGAAACACTTTCAAAAAACTTACTTAAAATATTTTAATGCTTGTACCATACGTACAGAATGGTTAACATTTGTGTAAGATTCAAGGTTCTCATCAGTGGTGGTTATGAAGAGTCCTGCCTTCTGTGATAACTACCCATTTCTGTAACCGCACCATGCAGGAAACTCAGCAATGTTGATGATTTACATTCTTAATTACAATGTACTACATGTAAACGAACTGTACTACTGTTAACAAAAGATGATGCAGAATTGACCCCAGCACCAGCAGACGCCAAGGACGACATCTGGTCTTTCTGAGGGACAAGCAAACTGCAGGTCACTTGAAAACCCAGAATGGAGCAGGAAGTATCCCGCTGTGTTTTCTGGGAATTTCAATGCTTAACTTCGCGGTGCGAGTATTTGAAAATTTGAGACTTGACAGATACGAGTCGCAATAATTTTCGGAGGGGCATACCAAGCGATCGTTAGCGTACCTTCATTTATTTGAGAGCTGTCAGAAGGACCGTCTTGTACTTAGGCCCAAATTAACATGGATCTTGTTAGGGATTGGCTGAATGCAAATGAGCGAAACACCCAAATTTTAGGTTCACCCAATCAGCAAAATTTCAGAGAAGAGGAAACCAGGCGTTCCTGCTTTCCGTCAGGACTTCTACCTCTCCAGAGCAGTCAGTCATCAAAAGGGAGTAACAGGAGTGAGTTGTAAAAGGGAATAACAGGTGTCAGGAGTAACCTCCCAGACGTTAACTCGGTGTTGGCCTAGTCCGGCGTACAAATTCAAAGTGCTACTGCCTTGTAATGTGTAATTCTAGTTCACATCTACAATAAAGAGCAACAGTGTTGAGTGAAGTGTGAGTTTTAAGTGTTTTCTCTCTCCTTGTGTGAGCAAGGCCCAGAAGTCACCCTGAGACAGAATCTCGTCCTACCGTCTGAGCAGTCGGAACCCCAAACGTCTGCCTATCCATGACCCCACTTTTGTTTTCCCCATTCCAAATTCGTGGATTTCACCCAAGTCCACTGGCGCCCATACAAATCCAAATTCAGAGTAATCCCACACCCTACCCTGAACCAAACAGCAACAAGGAAGCGGCGGATGAAAGTGACGCCCATCGAGTGGGCGGTTAAACTTCATGCTGGTTTCCTGCTTGGCTTATTCTTCGACCATTAAGATGGAGGTGATGTGTTCCTCAAAAATGTCGACTGACTTTCAATGGACTACATAGTGTGTTATCCCAGAAGACAGGACATTTCTGTTCAACATCTGTTACAATGTGCTTTCTAACCTCAATCTTTCAATGACAGCTAAGTTATCAGTATACCCAGATACCCACCTCTACACAATGGTGAATCCAAAATATTTGTTATGCCATTATTCCATATTAAACAAAAGTTGTAAAATATTCAACATACATATTCTTTTTCAACATCTGATGAGACAAAAATAATCTCACAGACCAACAGGGGTCTGCCAACTACACCGTAAAAACCACTGATCTAGCATGTGATTGTTTTGAGTTCAAATGAAAAATGTTGCATTCCTTAAAAGCACCTTATCACAGGAACAATGATGACACTAAAACTGAGAGATTAATCGTATACTGAAAAGTTACCTGCTGAATTTTCTTCTCTCCATCATGAACATCTGAGGCAGACTTCTGCCATGGTTCTTCGCCCCGTGAATCATTCTCATCATCCTGGTACCGCTGTCGTGGCAGCCTTGCACTGGCTGACCTTGTAAATTGTCCATTTGAGCTAGTGTCTCGGTATTCACTCCATCGCCTCTGCTGCTGATATTGCTGTCCTGAAGGAGACCGTATTGTCGTTGCATAACTTGGCATTACGTCCGTCCTTTTTGGATGCCTCAGGACTACACCGGCACTCTCACTATTTACACTTCCCCCTGAGCTAACACCCCCCACTTGAGCACTACCACCTGACGGAGTACTTAACCGTATCGATGGAGTCGTTGCCCTTGAAGAGGAAGACTGATTTCTTGGATGTGTCATTGGAATCTGGTGAACATAAGAAGCAGACTGACGCATCTTTTGAGCATAACATTCCTCAGACCAGTAATAGTTATCACTAACAGCAGGATTTGGAGGGGACATCATCTCCAGACTTGATTTAGGCCGTGGTATTAGAGCTACTCTACTAGCATGTTGCTCCTGATAGTTCTTGTCATCACCACCAGCACTATGTTGCAAGAAGTCCCTACTTCTGCTGGCTTCTTGTCCAGGACTATACAGTGGTTGGCACGAATAATGCTGATTGTGCCTCTTGGCATCATAGTCCAAGAAGTCGGCACTGTGAGGCCGTGGTGGGTACCGGTTTGGCGTTGCTTCTCTGTGTCTCACTGGCTGAATATTATGATGATGGGTTGGAAGAGGCTGTTGTTGCATATGTGCAGAGTACAAGTTTGGTGCCTGCATGTCTGGCTGTTGAGAAGGAACGCCTGAGGCATACCTCTCAACTGCAAAGTTCTGCTGATGCTGACCAGAATGACCATACTGACCTCCTCCCTGTGGTAAAGAACGATTATCCCCACGTCCTCTTTCTGAATAGTTTTGTTTGTGGTGTACTGATATCACAGGTCCTGCTCCTTTAATGTATGCCACCTGATTTGATGATCGCTTGTTCACTTCTCTGTAACTACCTTCACTACCACTGTGCCTCACAGTGTCCGAGATGTTGTACACATCTTCATAATCTCCACCTTTAAAAATTGGCACTTTACTTTGCCCTGCAGGTCCAGGAGTTGCAGAATTTGACCGGCCATAAGTGTCTGGAGTCCGTCTTTCCGCATTGATCAATGCTTGACCATAACTAGCTAAACCCTGGACCACCTGCTGTGGAGGCTGCTGCAGCCTTTGCATCTGTTCCTGCTGAAGAGGCTGTTCACAGGAATGAACTGGCTTCTGGGTAGCTGCTTGGTGGTAATGGTACCTAACATCCATACGTTCGTTTCTCGCAGGCTGCTGTGGTTGGGCGATCCTAGGCACAAATCCCTTATTCCCTTCAGGATCTTGAAGGGTCTTCTTCCCAGCCAGCTCTTCAGCCTGTCTGTCAGAAGCTGGTTCAGGAGTGGAAGCGCCATAGTCCTCATGCTCAGCAAGGCGCCTTGGTTTTGGGGGCGCATTAGCGTAGAGTGGCTGATGGTAACCTGTGCCTTGCTTCTGGAGGCCCAAACCATTTGCGAACACTGAATCATTACTGGTGTTCAGTTGGCGAGAAGCATCCTCATTCTTTGAAATATGCTCACTGCTGAGCTTACTGTTTGAGGATGCAGGAACTGTGGATGGTGTGCCCAAAGGCACAGAATGTGGTTGCCGGTAACCATGGAAACCTGAATCACTTTCATCAGCACTCTGGTTCAGGGTGGATGACATGGAAGTCACACTGGGGCGAGCTGACCGATGATCATCCCAACTGTAAAATAGTGAACACATGAGCATATGAATTCTGTAATTAAGAATAATGAATTAAATTATTATTTTCAAGTACTCAAAGCAGTGTATATTTTATATTACAGCGTTACTGTGCTGTTATGATGTTCATATCATTTTCCCTCATTGTTGATGTCTTCATCATCATGATCATGATCATGATCATCACTGTCGCTGTTACTGTACCTACTGCCCTCCTGCAGGATGGAGGCGAGGCTGAGCGCGTTCATCCACCGCACCATGAGCTCCCGTGTGTCGGCTGCGAAGTGGTAGGTGCGCATGTTCGTGTGCTCGGCCTTGAAGGCGAACTTGCGGTACACGCGGTCCTCGGTTGAACAAGGCGAGATCTTGTACGATGGCAGTAAGATCGAACCCAGCAGCTTCTCCTCTTCTGGACCTTCGGAAATAACAAAAATAATAAGTACTTCACTTGAAAAAGTGGATATGGCAGGAACCAATACAGTAAACAAAGGCTTCTGGTAAAGCAACCCCAAGCACCACACTAAGCACTCTCAAACTTCAGCAATGGTCAACTTCACACTTCCATCCCCCACGAAAGAGCCCCTGGTATCAATCAGGGAGGCTGTGTGGACCAGAGCCATTGTGAACCTTAGAGTGAAGAGAAGAGGTCCGGGTGCCAACCTCGGGTTTGAACCTGGCCATGTAGCCTGTAGCATCACTTTACTACTTGATCAATTTAATTTTAGAAAATCGAACTAAACCCGGTGTGGTAGAAACTATGTAGCCATATCATCACCCTGAAAGAGTACAATATGTAAATCCTGACTTAAAATTCTCTCTTTTTGAGAAATTCATCCCTTTGTACCCCTTTCTTTACTTTAAAACGTCCAAGTTACAGGTAACCTAGAATCACGGTGTGGAAAATGAGCTATTTCCTTGAAACAGTTCCTCGATTACCTTCACGAGGCTGAGTGGACCCCGTTCCAGACCCACTACTTCTCAGAAAATCTGGTAGCGCCGGGAATCGAACCCGGGACTTCTGAATCTGTAGTCAGGAACTCTGACCACTAGGCCATAGAGGCGGTCCCCGTGGAAAATGCGCTACATACATTATTTCACTTCAGCTATTCACCTGCAATAGTATGTATATATGTATGTATATACACCATAATATGTTTCTAAAGTACATAAGAACCCACTGCCCATAGCTGGACGTAACACGTTGACTGAAAGCAGCGGCATCTGCACAGTCATACATATCCCTGAGTTACACCTGTACACGACACCCTAGTTACATTTACGTGCCTGTCCCTGAATTACGCCTGCACCGGTGTCCCTGAATTATCTTCACACACGTCCCGAGTTACATCTGCTCACATGTTCCTGGGTTACATCGGTACAACTGTCCTGACTTAAGTTCGAGCAAGTCCCCAAGTGACATATGCGCATGACTTAACATTTGCACGTATGTCCCTGTGTTACATCTGCACAAATGTCTCTGAGTTACCTTTGTAGTAGAAGAGGCAGTACTCCGACAGAACGAACCAGCGCCTCTTCCACAGCATAAGCCCCTCGCTGCCCTGCTTGTGTAACCAGCCCTGGAGGGTGACTGGGGCGGCCGCTGGGCGCTTCACCACTGGCGATCGCAACTGCTGCTGTCCGCCGCCACCGCCTCCCTTCCGACGGCCATGGGTCTGCTGCGGCGCCCCTGGTTGCAACTGAGGACACAACAATCACCAATGGATGTTAAACTCAAGAGATCTGAACACATATTAATTCAACTGGCCCCAAACACGGTTTTACAGACGGATATTCTGAACACGGCAATGATCTACTACTCCACGAAGAATGAAACCCAAAGATCATTACTCTGTTCTCAAGAGTCCGTCACTGGTTCCATAAAAACAAAGGATGTAGTGTACAATACGGCTTTCTGGGTTGTAACACCGTGTAGTTCGGAGGGAGCCCGACGTTTCGGACAAACATATAGCCTCCATACTCGGGGTCGGCGAGTACACGAAGGAAAAACCGAGCAGAAGCTGGCGACAGGAGGCAGTATCTTCCACTGGAAGGTCGGGACCTCTCAAAACTATACGGCGTTACAACACAACCACCAGCATGAGGAACTCAAACCGAACAAGTCAATCGGATGCTGACAGCAGTGAAATCACTTATGCCTGATTCTGTTCCCCTACAGCGTAGGTAAGTTGATTGATGTCTTCACGACAGGGTGTAGCGTAATAATTTACCCGCCACGCCTAATCATATCTGGCGACTTCTAGTGGCGTTTCCATGATAAGCGGTCACAGGCAGTAATGGGGTGCCCACACCCAGCTTGAGGGTACGGTGAAGGCTACAAGTTACTCTCCATAAAAGAAAACAGTATGTTACAGAATGCTGTTACACGTGGTTTCGAACTTGCGGCCTCTTGTGAACAGATCACTCATGACCAACGATGATCTCAATCGATCTCAAAGATATGGGATAGGACGGTGTGGATTGGATTCATCCGGTCCGTGATAGGGATCAGCAGTGACCTCTTGTGAACACGGTACAGACGTACATTAAGACACGACCTGGTTGAGATACGAGGTTTTCATGGAGGTTTCTATCAAAAGCCTTCTGGAATGCGACACCGTGTTGTCTGGTAGATTGTTACCAACGTTCAGGCTCCATTTCTGAAGCAGGAACGGTGCTTACTTCTGTTATAAATTGGTACTAGGCGGGATGGCTGCTGAAAGGGAGACAGTTCACACTGAACCGTATAAAATCTGCAACCGAAACTCCTGTATAGTTACATACCGTAGACAAACAAAAATCACTCGGCGGGACAGCTCAGTCAGTATAGTGACTACGCTATGGAATATAACACGGATATTGACCTCTAACTTATCCTGCGGCTAAAAATACGTGGTGCTATACCTCCACTTCGGGGCACGCAGTACCGTAGTTAGTTGAGACACTATGCTACAAGCCGGCAGGTCGCGGGTTTCAGTCCCGATGAGGTGGATTTTTTTAATTGACCTAATCATTCCAGCCGCATTATGAACCTGGGGTCGACTCAACCTCTAACAGAAATGAGTACCAGAAATATTCCTGAGTGTGGGTGGGGGGGGGGTAAAGGGGCGGCCGGCGCGTAATGCTGGCAACCTTACCGCCATCAATGAGCCGACTGTCTAGAAGATGTGGGAGCCTCAACCTCTTACAACCCTATGGGACTCCACGGCCTGTTATAGGGATAGCTTTACTTTTATTTTTCTATACCTCCACGTCTTCAATGTCTTCATAGGGTGGCACTTAACTAAGCATAGGCATAACTTTATTTTCCGAGGACGTGTGTCTTTTGATATCTGAAAACCATGGAGAATCGTCGATACCGGTACGGTCTACTTGACCCGACAGCAGATCCAATCGATGCTTCAGAAAGCATCTAGCTCACTCAAACTACAATTTCAACCGGTATCTGTCGGAACTGGTCACCTCTGAAGAAACAGCAGCCTATCTTCTTAATATAAAACATCTTGTGTGCTGAAATCAAGAGATATTCTCTTTAGTGAAACGTATTTTCCCGATACGCACCAATTTGAGTGTGCAGTCAAGAGAATACAACTTGAATCCAAGCTGTCAGTTCTGCTTCGCAAGCCACGCAAACCGCAGTAGCTAGGGAACGGATTTCCGAATCCTCCAACAGGGAAAACGATAGAACTGCTTGGCTAGCTTCAGGCAGGGCAGTTCATTACACAAGGAGAGAAGCTGATTGGATTCCAGACTGGAGGAACGCCAGGAATGTGCAGAAACTTGCGGCATAAAAGACAGGAACGGAAATAACAGCACAGTGAAATACGCGCACGAGATAAAACCATAACTGCTAGACGGCGAGGAGATGGACGGCCAACCAAGAGTCGCATTTATCCAGTGGGCGGAAGAAGGGAGCAAACGATACTCTGCGCATGCCCAATGTATTCCCCTTTACTCATTGGGGATTGATACGATGATTCATGAATTACGGACCGGAAAGGGCACGAAAGGAAGTGTTCGTCATCGGATTTAGGGCACACACTGCCCACAATTTGAGAAGCCGGGATAGCGTAGTCGGTATAGCGACTGGCGACGGACTGTATGACCGAGGGTTCGGAGTTCGGTGCCCGGTAGGGTAAAAAATTTTCTCTTCTCCACGTCATCCAGATCGGCCCTGGGGCCCACCCACTCCCCTATCCAATGGGTACCGTGGACTCTTTCTCCGGGAGTAAAGCGGCAGGGGCGTGAAGCTGACCACTCACCTCCAGCTAGTGCCGAGGTCAAGAAAAAATGGATCTATATATCCACTCCCGCATACGACTTCATGACGTAGTGCTAAAATTAGTCAAGCATAGTGCCAACTTTAATAACAACAATCTGCCCGGAGAGGCCGAAGAAAAACAAGAAAACCTCGGTCGTCATATTCGATCCCTGGGTCGAGATCTGAAAGCAAAATATCCCCATGTGGAGGAACGGAAATCACAAGGCCCCGACGCCCGGTTCGCGGTTCTCGCTACACACACACACATACACACACACACACAACGAGACTGGCGCAAAATAAAAAAGACCATGCTTAAACCATAAAGTTGAGCAGTTATATGAATCTGAATGCAACTCATGCAAGCCGTGTATAATTACAAAATATGGGCACAACGAGACTTAGCGCGGTTGCGTGTAAGTAGGCACCTCATTTACAACTCATACTCTCTATCAGAATTGATGCTGAATAGTGCCAGTTTTATTATATGACGTCATGAATCCGTCTTTTCCACTGGTCGATGGCTAATCGATACGAGAGGTCATACTTTCTCAGTTCTTCTAGAAACTTGAACTCTCCGCTCTACACTTTTTGTGCGGTAAGCGAAGTGACAGAAAGTTAGAGAAAACTGCATAATGAGGAGCTTCATAACTTGTACTCGTCTCCAAGTCTAATTAGAATCATGAAGTCAAGGAGAGTAAGATGGGCGGGTCATGTAGTAAGAATGGTGGAGAAGAAGAATGCATATAGGATATTGGTGTGAAAGCCAGAAGGAAAGAGACCACTGGGAAGACCAAGGCGTACGTGAGTGTACAATATTAAAATGGATCTTAGAGAGATAGGATGGGATGGTATGGACTGGACTGATTTGGCTCAGGATAGGGACCAGTGGAGTGCTCTTGTGAACATGGTAATGAACCTTCGGGTTCCATAAAATGCTGGGAAATTCTTGAGTAGCTGCAGAATTGGCGGCTCTTGAAGGTCTCAGCCCCGTGAGTAAGTTCATTCCAAACATGTTAACCTAACCGATTTAAATATGGGGAATTTTGTGGTCAGTCTATGGATTTGACAAATTCAACTGCAGCGTTGTCAACAATTTAACAGGCCCACTAAATGCATCAATTATTAATATACAAAACGGGAAATATTTTTCAGTGTAAGGGATCAAAGTGAGTACAGTAAATACATGCAGCTGGGTAATTTGTACACAACTTGTAATACTTTCATTCCAAACCGATAAATTAGGCTACACCCGGTATGTCAACCTGCGTAAGAGGGCATCTAGACTCAGAATTTATGCTGCCTTTTCTTGGTGCTGCCTCATCTGTGACACTTCTCCCTACAGCACCTCTCATCAGCGCGAGTCTCGAATTTTCGAGGCAGAAGCGAGACAGAAAATATCTCAATCTCGACTCGCACTTTCATTTCTCGCACGGCATTACCTTGAAATGCGATATTCTAAATGAGTACAGCGAAGAAAACAGATTAGCCTATTAAAGGAAATACTCGATCTCACATCGATTCTCGAAATCTTTTACAATTTCCGTGCAGTAATCGAAGGTCATTCTCGCACATGTCCCCGATTTAGAATCGTCACAGACTCAAGACATAAAAAACTCCGTGGCCTGCAGTCCGCAAGTGAACTATACCGACCGAGCGACCGTTGCTTGTCGGCGAAGTTAGTGTCAGCTTTTTTGGATAGAGGGTGTCGCGTGGTCAGCGCAACGGACCCCCACGGCCATTAATCTCGGTTTTCTAGACCGGAGCCGCTATTTACCTTGAATAGCTCCTCAATTATCCTCACGAAGCTGAGTGGATCCCGTTTCAGACCCACTACTTCTCATGAAAAAATGATATCTCCGAGAATCGAACCCGGGGCCTCTGGATCTGTAGCCAGGAAATTAGACCACAGAAGCGACTGCTGAAGAGAGAGACTTTGAGCAAAATAAATAGGTCTTATGATATCACCGCGCTGTCTCTGTATTGCCTTAATTTTTGTTATGAAGCTTATGGGATCGCCTAGCCGTCTGTTTGTTGTGTATCCCCCTAATACTTTTGTTTTCTCTGCGGTCCGTGTCGTGGTTGTGCCAACAACTTCTTGTTTCAAAATAAGGAAAGCAGACTTAAAATGAACAGAACGCCGTTCGTCGGTACAGATGTCCTGGTGTGGAGGGTTCGCGTGGTGAGAAACTAGTGTGCACAGCAACGTGTATGAACGTCTGCTTCCTCTTAGCCTCGCTCCGAGTGGAACATGGAGTCATGCACTACGCAATAATCCGCATTAATGACGAACTCGGCGCAGACCATGATACAAAGGAGCAACAAGGGGCAGACCACTGTCTTCCACCCACAAGCACCGCATCTGAAAGAAAAATCGATCATTCAGACTCTGGCATCTCTCCAACTTTGGGCTTCGAAAACAATTCGGTACACTCCTCG